GCTTGCAATGATGGTATAATGCGAAGCCTAGGTTTGCTAGTACGTCTGCGTGGGCATTTTCTGCTTTTGGAACCTGAGTGGGTGTGTACGCCTGGAACGTTGCTAGCTATTTTTGTACCTTCTCGAGGTATCGGGCCATACTTGGATGCTTTGCTGCCTACTCCCCCGAGGTTTGGTTGGTGATCAGATGGGAATCGGAATATATCACGATCTTTTTCACCGCTAGGTCTTTCGCCAATTGGAAACTTGCTTGTAGAGCTTCATACTCTAGTTCGTTGTTTGACGCCTTAGAGCTTAAAGGGATCACCTACTCGAGCATCGAACAGTCCGGAGTAGTAAGAACTAGGCCTGCTCCTGATCCCTGGTAATTGGATGATACATCGTCGTGCAAGTGCCGAAAATCACCTGCAGGTGGGGTTGGGCTGAGTTGCTGCGCTCGTTCGAACATCCGTAAGTTTTTGTGCCTTTAACATTGTGCATCTGGATTGTGCAGAATATTGCATCACGACAATGATTGCGTATGCCTGAAGGTACAGTTTGTGTTTACGGGTTGCAACAACTAGCGCCAAAATCAATGTTTTGATTTTCAAGTATCTGGTTTTCTCATTGATGAGAGCTTTTGAACTATGGAATATAAGTGGTCGTGCGCCCAACTCTTCTCATAGGAGGGTAAAACTCATTGTTGTTTTAGATATTGCCATATAGATGCATAGATCCACCGCTGCTTCCAGCTTGGATTGCATCGGTCGATAGGTCGTGAGAGGAATCAGCTGAGTGCAGCTACTTGTCAGGTCAGACCTTAGATCTCTTTCAGAGTGATGGGGGACTTCATATCCAGGATTACTCAGATCTTCTTTAGATGTGTGTTTTGCATGGTCTGACCGCTGCTTAGGGTCAAGGAAGATGTGCTCGGCGTCTTCTTCAAGTTTCCATCTTGATTCATCTGCCAAGGCATTGTCGACCTTAACGCCATCTTCTTAACCCGTCTGCTGTGATTGTTATTTGGTGAAGGTAGATACGTTTTTCTACACTTCAGCTGCTACTGCTGGGGCCAAAAACTTCTTCTTCGACTCCTTGAGAACTTGGTGTACGACTTGGGTGCTGTGCCTCCTTTCGTCAGGGATCGGTCCCTACATTTGCTTCCCAGCTTGTTTTTGTCATTGAGCGGTTTGTCACCTGCCTTCTTCTCAGTTGGCTCTACGTCTTTACACGGTTGCTCAGGCGACTTCTAGGACAACTTGGCCTCATCCCAAAGGGAGTGCTTTTCTACCAAAGCATAAGAGTTTGCCAGGATCAAGTTCTCGCCTATAATCAATTCTTCGAAAAATGGGTGATCTGCTGGGAGCCCCTTTCAGAAAGCTAAGTATGCGATGCTGTCATCGCATCTGATGATCTTCGCCTTCTCTGCCTTGAATCTCTTGACATAAGTGCGGAGTGACTCATTTGGGTTCTTCATGTTAAAGAGGTGGTCAAACTTCTTTTTGATCGAGAGGTAGGATGAATATTCCTTAGTGAAAACCAAGGAAAGTTCGTTGAAGTTCTTGATTTAGAGTGGCTGCAAGGTGTGAAACCAGTCTTGCACCTCATCTTAGAGCGTAGTGGTAAAGATTTTGCACATAAGAGCATCATTGTTGGCGTAGAGGGTCATGGTGCTTCGGTAGTGCATCAGGTGCTTGTCTGGATCTTCATCTCCTTTAAACAAGGTGAAATGTTATGGGCTGAACTTCCGCGGTGGCTTCGTCTGTTCAATCTCGTATGTAAAATGTGACCTACTCAAGTTGGCCATGTCTCTCTGAAAGGAATCGTCAATAGTGTCAATGCGTTGAAATCCGCGTAGCTGTTCTGCTACAAGCCTTTGTACTTCCTCTTGGATTTGTGCTTGGTGGGGTAGCGGAGCCTCCAATTGCCATCGGCGTTGACCTGCCGATCTATGTTGCTCTTCAGCATATCTTGCTCATCTGTGCCGTGATTATAGTGCACGTGGTTCGCCATGTGCTGCCCGCCGTCGCTCTTGGTGGGGTTGCAAGTGGAACTTAAGCTGGATTGTTCTCGTGCTCTCCTCTGGGCATCACGTAACCACCAACTCTATTGTCTTATAGAAAGATCACTTTATGGGCCTAGCCTCATATGGACACTTCTCCTAGAATGTCCTAAGTGCTCGTTGGAGTATGGACCCAACCTTGAATGCACACTGACTAGTGAGCTGAATCGGAAAGGAACGCTTCTCTGCACATCTAGGCGAGATAAGACGTTTCCCCGAGGTCCCAAACAAGAGTGCACACTACCCGAACACTCCGTTTGTGGCGGGCTGAACAACTCTTTGTCTGGACGACGGTAGAATGAGTCACGTTCTTCCGCATTTGTCCTGCTTTGGGACACCTCGTCTGGGGCGTTTTGCATGTCGATGCACTTGAGGAGTTGGTTCACCAAAATGGTCTGCTGCGTGCGGACGTTCGCCAAATTGACGACCTACTGGGGCAGGTGGTGCTCGCCATTTAGATTGGAAGAGCCTGGAAAATGGGTGTCTCCTTGTGTGGTAGAAGTATAGTGGATTGCATATATAAAGCTTGAGCCCAAAACGGGTCTTCTTGGTCGTTGGGCTGCCACATTATGGCCTGCTGGCTGAGTGGCTTGGGCTTGGGCCCGTTAAGCTGTCTGGCTGGTAGCAGCTGTTGCGTTCTGGGCTCGGGTTTGGGCCTGCTGTCGCAGTGGGCTAGACCTCCTAACCTGGGCCTACTAGGCAGCTGCCAAGTTTTAGGCCTCCTACCTTTAGGCTTGGAAACGGACCTGGGCCTCCTATTTAGGGTTTGGTTAGGTGCGGCATTGCAATGGCAGTGACGGTGGAAGTGATGTCGTGACCTGATGGCATTGTTGTGGCTGCTGGGTCACGGTGGTGGTGGTAGTGGCACGGCTTCGTAGCGGTAGGGCTCCTCCCTCCGTCGCATTGAGCCTTGAGGATCTCCGTCGTGGGGCTATGTCCTCATCTCCACTCTCCGATCCAAATCCTTACACGTACAGGGTTCTGTTCATCGTAGTTTCTGAATTTCCTACCATTGCATCATTTCTACAGGGATTGATCAAGAAACTTTTCTCAAAAAAATTAATTGATACGACGTGTGAGAAATTCAACGTAATAGAAAATTCAAGAAACAAATGCGAGAGGCTTCTTCGGGTATTTTGAATGAACTCTCTATGACAACACCAATTTGTCGATGTAAATTTCCGCCGTCTTCAGTCTTGACGAAAATGCACCTGTAAAACAATCAACATCTTTGATCGAAGACCTAAGCCTCACGCGCCCATAAGGTTAGGGGGTTAGGTCAACGGATCTCTAATGCCTAAGTTAGTTTCTCTGAGAGAGTAAAGCATTTAGGGCTTTTTTAGGGTTTGCAAAAACTCTGAAAATTTGGTAGAATATGGGGTATTTATAGGGATAGGGCCGGCCATAGTGTTTAATGGAGAGATATTCTCTAAATATTCCCAAGATATTAAATAGGAAATAATATCTTGAGATAATGGAGTAATTATCCCTAATTGATTTAAATTAGGATTACTTACTTGATTAGAGTCAATTTTCAAATGGGAATGTATTAAAGATAGGATTGGGTAATTAATCTTGATCTTTAATTCCTTGCCAAAGGCAGATGAGCTGTGCACAGTCGTATTCAACTGCTGTGACCTCCAGGGATGTGAGTTGTGTGTGGGAGCATATGAGAAACCTGCTCATTTATTGAGGGCAATCTTGTCTTTCTTGAATAAAAATACATGTGTCGCCTCTAGAATTTTTGGGATATTTTAGACTCCACATATATGTGGTTCCTTAAGATGAGACAAAAGAAAATTTATGCATAACTAGTCTCAAGTTGCGACCTATGGTTTTAAAGAGGCTATTCCTTTATAGAGTATTATTTTTGAGAGGTTTTATTGTATTATACATTTTACTATTCGCTCGGCAGATGTTGGTAGGGCTCGACATGTCATGCTCGACAAGCCTCAACAGATTAGGACATAATCCCCAAAAGCTTCATAAAATGCCTCACTAACAAAAACCAACTGAACTAAAAAAATTTGCATGCGGCACACGTTGTTTCCTGTTAAAAAAGTTTGCATTTTTACACTAAAACAATTAGGATATTATTTAAGGGATCGCCACTATGGGTGATTTTCGGGTGGATTGAAATATGATTTTCAAATTCGGAATTTCAGAATTAGAGTAATCTAAAAAATTTAGGAACATAATTCGGAAATTTATATAATTTATTTGTTTTTGAATATTCTCAAACTTTTCTGTACATATAATTTATTATTCTTTCTTAATTTTTGGTATATGCTTATGTATAAATTCAATCAATTTTTTTAGTATACTAGTATGCTTATCCTTTTTAATATACAAGTGTGTGTTCAATATATGAACAAAAGGCACCAAAAATAACAATAAAATATGAAAGTTGATTATAAAATGCATAAGTTGAGTAAATAACTATAAAAAGGAGAATATCATAACCTTTTTCGTCAGAATAAGTTTGAACTCTTGAGAACACTTTGAAAAAATCGAATTGGAAATTTAGAATTATCATAATCTCTAAATGCATTCTTATTTCCCTTCCAAATTTTCTAAGGAAAAACTAATGAAAATGACTTGATAACTTTGAGTTTTAATGATAAGGACAAAATAAAGGGTAAAATGAATAGTACTAGGTTTGACTTTTTAATGTAAACATAATTTTTCGTTAAAGTAAACAGTACCGCGATTTTTTTCGTTAAAACTACATTTTTCTAAAGATACTTAGATTTTCGAGTTCAAATTAAAAAATTTAATTTCGGCATCAGAAATATCATTCCAACTTGCACCCCTTATCGCCACTGTTCACCACATCAACCGAACAATAATTTGAATGAAAGCAACGTTACCACAAAGTCAGTTAAGACATATCGTACAAGCATATAATATTTACCAAATGACAAAGGAAAAGAGAAGCAAAAAGCAAAGGAAACCTTGGCTAGGCTAAAGAACTCCTGGGCCTCCTGGCTAGGCGCTATAGGACCCTAGGGTAGACACCCGAATCCTGCGCCAAAGATTGGCTGACTTACATGACGACATCTTTCTCCACCTCTCCTCCTCCTCCTTCATTCAAAACCATCAAATTAATAGAGAAATCCAGAGTCTATCTTTCCCTGTCTATAAATATGTACCCAAAAGCACTTATCCCTACCAAGTTCTAGCTAGCAACAAAAGCCCAGTTTTAAGCAACAAAAGCCCAGTTTTACTGTGCTTGCCTAGCTAAATGGACTACCTCACTGCCACTGACTCTAACTCAAATAATTTCGCCAACTCTTCTTCCGTGACAAAAAACAATCGTGGTGGTGGGAAGAACAAAAGTAATGGAGTGAGGCTGTCCACTGACCCACAGAGCGTGGCGGCTAGGGAGAGGAGGCACAGGATCAGCGACCGCTTCAAGATCTTGCAGAGCTTGGTTCCTGGCGGGACGAAGCTGGACACGGTGTCCATGCTGGAGGAGGCTATCCACTATGTGAAGTTCCTCAAGACTCAGATATGGCTTCACCAGACCATGATCAACTTTGCGGAGGATTACCATGATCCTTCGTCGTCATCATCACCACCGTCCATGTTGATGGATATTCCAGCTCATGATCATGATCTTCATCCAATTGGGTGTCTTGATCATGATCTTCTTCCAACTGGGTGCTTTGATCATCTTTCTCACCAGCTTCATCAGCAGACTCATGATTTGTACGCTCACGGCGATGTCATTAGTACTGATGCTTCAGTGCAACCACCGTCACCACCAGCAGTTAATATTCCAATAATGCCCGAGTACAATTGCTTCCAAAGGTCAAGGAACAATTGGCAATATTGAAGCCTATATAAAATATTATAGCTAGCTTTAGTAAAGAGGGGACGGGCGAGCGGGTTCTCTTCGCATTGGTTCTTTTCTCATGGAAAACGGTTTGGTGCCTCACACGACCATTGACGAAGAACTAATTTCGCTTAATCTTAATTTGTTTTCATCAGAAAATAGCTAGCTTAAGTCTCTGTCTGTCTCTCTCTTAGGTTATGAATTAGTATGTTGGGGAGTTAGATGTGATTAGATGGTAGTAGTGGTGTGTTTCAATAACAAAAATGTTTCTTTTAACTAATGTTACTTTGTGTTGCTCTAAATATGGAAAGGAATGTTCTCTGTGTTTGATTGGTTTCTGTCTTGACTGATTTAGATTAAGTGCAAACATGGTGTGCTGATGAACCTAGGAATGATCCTAAAAGTGTGGATTAGCTTAAATATCCAGTGGGTTTTAGGCTGAATCAGTAGATCATGTTGATAAATATGCTTCTGGGTCAGTACTCATTAGTTTCCTCCGGTATTAAGGGGGTTCTCTTGTATCAAAATGCTGTTGCAAACTTGCAACCATTTCATATCCCCACCCACTATTTACAAGTTTTTAGTTTTTTTTTTTATATTTTGCTAAGAAGTGTTTTTCTTACTAAAAGATCGATTTACGAGCATTGAGTTTAGTTTTTTTTGTTTTTTTTTTGCTAACTAAGTATTTTTCTTGCTAACTAGAATGATTGGACGGATAATAGAATTGTTGCACAATCCATATTCTATCATGCCATAAAATTAAACCTTACATTTATAAGGAAGCAAATGTAATGGAAAGTTGTTTTACTGTTTTTGAATTCGTTTGTACTTATTATGCTAAAGAGAGAAAAAGGAATATACAAAGAGTAAATTAGTCAAAATTATTAATCAAACAAAAATCAATCACTGATATGGTTTGTTTGGAACGTTTTCGGAAGAGTAAAAAGTGTGTTAACAAAAAAAAAAAAATTATGATTACGTTTATACAACCTAAAAGCGTTTTATAAAGAAACATATGCACTTCTGTGTAAAACACTAGAATTTTTAATTAATATTTGAGTTAATTAGGGTTCACCTTGCCCAGCCATATCTTTTTTACTAAACGTTGAATCCTTAATTTTCTAGTTAAAATTTGAGTTACGTTTGTAATCATCTGTAATATCGATGTTTGTTAAATTTTTTTGATACAACGTTATATTTATACTAGAGGATAAAGTAATAAATTTTTAATGAACTAGGTTGTTATTAATGAGTATCGTTTACTTTTCCTTCAAATCCATGAATTAAAATTCTAGTCAAATAATAAAAGTGATACAAAGTTCCCCAAAACTAACATGAATAAAATGAAATGCTTTGGTAGTGTGTAAAATCAATTTAGGCACCCGAGCTACTACAAAAAAAAATTTAGCAAAACCTTTTATGAGCATAAATGCTTCTTATATAAGCAGTACTAAACGGAGAGTTTGTGTGGGAATTGGTAGCAATGAAGAGTTTGTGTGGTTTGAAGAACCCGTGATTTGCTTAGCAATATTTTGTACAAAAATGTTTTATAATTTACCTATGTATTATCAATTGAGTATAGGTTATATTGTTATGCGGAACACTTTTTTACCTTCGATCGGGTTGAAATCCCCCAACAAGATTTTATGAGGGTTCATTTTGCACGCTATTCGCAATTTGTACTTTCCTTTAAAAGAAAAAGTAGTACTTAATGAGTCATCAACACATGAGAAAGCTAATTAAATGCACCAAGCACGTTGGAATACCGTACCTTTTTAAATTTGTTGTTTTAATGTTTCTCTTTTTAATTCTAGTTTGTCATACAATCATTTTTAGAATCTCTCTTACCAAAAGGATTTTTGAAATGTGGAAACTAGATTACCAAACTTCAAGCATCTCTAACCATGTTATTTAATTTTATAGGAAAGTTTTAGCTAAAATTATCAAAAGTTATTTTAAGAGCGCTCCAACATGTTGTACTCCAACGGTCTAATCACATTCTGTATTTTAGAGAATCATAATGACTATAAGTCAATAATTAGCCAATAAAAATTATGTATTTATTTAAAGTAATATTAAAACAACTAGCGCTAATTATGGGAAGCATGATTGGAGTTGATTGTTTGAAATCCTCCTTAAATTCTAGTTAAGAGCTCATTTAGGGAGTCCATTGGAGATCTCTTACCATTTACTTTCTAATGCCAATAAAAAAATGATGTTCATTTCCTCTAATGCTTTCGGGTGCATAAGTTTAATTTGTAGCTTCAATCATCTAAAAAGTAAAAAGAAAACATGTTCGATTCCTAATATCAAAAATATTTTTGACCTAAGCGAAGTTTTTCTATTTTGCATTCCGATGTCAAAACAAAGTGGCGTATATTTCATGTAATTTGCTTTTTGTGATTATGTGAATGAGTCAATTATAGTAAAAATAAATAAAAGACGTAGTTGCAAGTGGTCATTTACCACAATTATGAAAATAAGTTAAGTTAAAAAACGCGATTGATTCCTAAACCGTAAACCCATTGGGCCTATAGTATGCCCAGATACCCACATATGGCCCATACAGTTGTTCGTTTTTTACGTCCAACAACCACCTTCCGTAAATCTTAGAAGTTCCACACCTTGCCATGCTGCTGCCCCTCCACATTTTGCAAAGAAGGGAGAGAGCGCATCAATGGCGCACTTCTGTTCAGGTACTTACCCTAAAAATTTCAACCGTTAAACCCTTATGTGGTGGTGTACATGTTTGATGGCTCACCACATGTTTGATGAAAGTCCTCACTGAACATCTGCATCATTCTGAGGGGCATTATATTTAGACCACGAAGATTACAACATTATATATATACATATACTTAGTCTCCGTCGTTGTCACCGCCATTTCGCGGTTTATAATTATATGAAAGTATAACACCAACAAAAGTAAAAGTTCAGAAAAAGTAAAGAAGAAAGTTGAAAACAAAACAATTTGTGTCTATGGCGAAAATGAGTGCGAAGAGGAAGAAGAAGATGTAATAGGTGGAGAGAAATGGCATGTACAGTTTGGGTCATGGATGGCCCTCTTCCTACTCATATCAAGTTTTGAACAAAACACACAATATGGACCCCGAAACACTCTGTCTTCTGAAACAATCTCGTCTCTGCTATAGTCTTGCATGATATACTTGCTCTCTTCTTCCAAGTCTTCCTCCTCCTCATCGTCCCATTCGGCACGGGTTTTGTAAGAATATCCCATCATTGGAAGAATCGCCAGAAGAATTTTGTCAATGCTGTCCTCTAACCAGTTTCTTCCTTCTTCCCACACGATTAAGAGGATAACAACAACTCCTGCTCCCACTCCATAACCCACTCCAGTATGTATGGACTGCCAATCAACTTTTGACACTTTGTTTTGATCTGTTCGTGAGGCGTTCTTATCACTGCATGTTAGACTCAAAGGTGCCCCACACAATCCTTTATTGCCAGTGAAAGAATCTGGTGAAAAGGATTGAATCTGAGTGCCAGTTGGAATTCTCCCCTCCAGTTGATTGTTTGAGAGATCCAGGACAGAGAGGAAATTAAGTTTGACAAGCTCTTGTGGAATTGTTCCGCTCAGTTTGTTGTCTGAAAGGTCCAAGGACTCAAGCTGTCGTAGGTTACCCAGTGATGATGGGATTGTACCTGTGAAAGCATTACTGGACAAGTTTAGGCCATAGAGTGATTTGAGGTCTCCCACTTCCTCAGGTATTGATCCAATGAAATTGTTGCAGGAGATGTCAATCGAGGTGAAGACTGTTAAGATCTTTACCAATTCCATCTCTAGACCTTTGGTGGTAACTGTTATAGCATCCTGATAATATACCTGACTGAACTGCAGAACTTGAAATCGGAGGTGATTAATCTTTGCCATGGCATCATCTTCGTCAGCCATCATTGCTGACCAGGTTCTCAAACATGTTCCTGGTATTTCACCACTAAAATTGTTGCGAGCTATGTCAACAATTTGAAGCTTTGGCCAGGGGCCACTGGTCGTGTTACATCCAATTTGTCCATAAAAATGGTTGGATCGCAAAACAAGGACACGCAAGGAGGATATATTCTTCAACAAGCGAGGAAAGGTATCCATTATCTGATTGTTTCCCATGTTTAGAACCTCTAACATTGTGCAGTTGGCAAGAGATTTTGGAAATAGGCCTGATATCTGATTTCCATTGAGGTCGAGAGTTTTTAAACTGCAACTCTGAGGAAATCTATCAGGGACAGAGCCATCAAGTTTGTTTCTCCTTAGATTAAGTACTGCCAGTGTCCTGCTTATCTCAGTCAAGCATCGGGGAATCGTTCCACCTAGAGAATTATTGGACAAATCAAGAACCTGAAGATATGGCGCCTTGCAGATTGATTCTGGAATAATCCCGTGGAAGTGATTGCTTGAAAGAGAGAAGAACACAGTGTAAAAAATGAAATCACCAATTTCAGGCGGAATGCTAGAGCTGAAATTATTGCTTGAGTAATCCACATAAGCGGCAGATGGTGGAAAAATTGGGATTTGTCCCTGAAGCTGGTTGGAATGAAGGTCAAGCATAGACAAACTAGAAGTGAGATTGAGTGAAGGACCTTGTAGGGTTACCAGAGAGTTGCAAGAAAGATTTAGTTGAAGAAGATTACTGAGCCTCCAAATCCAGTTGGGTATCTCACCATGAATCTGGTTTTGTGATAGGTCCAAAGTGCTTAATTTTGATTGATTTCTCAAGAAACTTGGGATTCTTCTCAAATTGCCAGCAACTAACTTCAATGTGGTAATATTTGGAAATGAAGAATGAGAGGAATTGGTCTCAGTGTAATTAATAGACAAGCTATTGTATGAAAGATCGAGACTCGAAAGATTTTTTAGCTGCTGAATATCATTCAGAAGAAAAGAGCCAGTGAAGTTGTTTGAAGCTAGTAAAAGAATCTTAAGCCCTCGGAATTTCAAGATAGACATGGGAATTGGCCCTTCCAACTTGTTGCTACTCAAATCAAGGGTGTCCAGTACAGATATAGCATCAAATTCAAGCAACTGACCAGAAAATTCATTGTTAGAAAGCTGTAGCTTCTGCAGCATCGGACGAGAAAACACAGATGGTGGAATAGTCCCATTAAGTAGATTGCGTCGCAAGTCCAGATTCACCAGATTAGTCAGGTTTTCCCAGCGTGAGGAATTAATCTGACCCGTTAACTGATTGTAAGAAAGATTTATTAGGGTTAGATTCTGGGCCATACTGAAAGATGGAACTGAACCATTGAACTTGTTCATCGACAAGTCCAAATAAACCAACTGTGTAAGGTCTTCCATTGACTTTGGGATT